CTGCCCAGATATATAGACTAACCAACAATTCTTCTTATAATAAGTAACACGCTTAAGGGGGAAGGTCGTTGAAATGCATCGGTAGAGATATAATAGTGGCCATCTTGTGATTAGTTATTGATCAGCGTTAAGACGGCAAAATACAGTGGATATTGCTGACTAATGGGAGACCCGTGAGTGTACGGACCGGTAAACCTATTAGGAGCCAGGCCTTTCCTCTACGTAACATAAGCCTTCCAAAAGGCCGACTAGCAGTACTCGCACACAGGCTTAGGTACGTAAGTCGGCCAGAAATAGATTTCCAATAACTTAAGGACGGAGATTAAATAGATTTACGATACCGTATTAAAAAGGGATAAATAGAACGCGTAGTAGCTATAAAAAGGACGAGGCGATATGTAAATAAAGATTATTTTTACTATACAGGAATACTTAAAGACTAGTAGAAGTTTCTTAAAAAGTTTATTTAAATAGGATATATATATAACGTATATAATAAGCGAGTAAAATAGATAAGTAAGTAAAATACGAAACGGCGACTATATTACTTAAATATAATCGGGCACCTTTCTTTTATAACTTAATATAGCTTATTAAAATAAAGAATTTAATATTTAGTTTACCCTCTAGGCTATTTAAAATAATTAAAAACTAAGCGCTCGGACTATAGCTAAAATTTATTTAGTAAGCTATATAACGCTAATTTATTAATTAAAAGGGATATTATTATAATGTAATAATATATTTAATTTATAAAATTTAACGTCCTTTAAAAAAGAGAAGCTAGTTAAGTATATTTTTAATTTAGATTTTTAATTATTTCCTCCCTAACTTCGTAATATTAAAAAAATAATAAATTAATTACTCGCTAACTACGACGTACTCTTTATTAAAACGTAATAAACTTTAAACTTTATTAAATAATAGCTATAGTTATAAACGCATCGTTTTCGTAAATATAATTATAAAAAGGCTTAATATAAAGACCTAGATGCGATAAACGCGTAGTTTTTATTTATAATAAATATAATTATAAAGTACGGTATTATAAACTTAAATATCTATAACTTTAATAAGACTAGCTTTATAATAAGCTAAATCTTAATTAATATAATCGTAACTAATATCGAGAGGTATTTAAATATAAAAATAATATAGCCTAGTAATTATAAATAGGTTATTATTATTTAAGTTATTAGCTCGTTAAGCTATAGCGTTCTACTATATATTATCGTTATAGGCTAATATTACCTCTCTATTTAATATATAGAAACCGGTCTTTTATATAACTAAATTATTATAACGTTTAAAAATAAATAAATAATAAATAAAAGAGGCCTAGATTAGGCTCGGTACTTTAAATAGTATATAAAACCGTATATAAAGGGTTAATATTATTTTTTTATTATTAATGGATACGAAAGTTATTATTTTACGGATTTTAAGCTTTTTTATTAAAGGAATAATATCGTAACCCTATATATACTACCCTATTCGTTTTATTTATTTTAGCTTTTAAATATTAAATATTTTAGGCTTTTAAAAACGGTATATAGTTAAAATATCGAAGATAAAATACGTCGGGGTAATATATATATTATTAAAAAGGACTTCTTTTCGGCGTTTTATAAAGTTTTTATATAAATAATTATAAAGAAAAATATTTAAAAAGGATTTAAAAAGTTAGGGCTTATATATTACGGCTAGCTAGTCATAATAAATATATTAATAGAAGTTAAAGCTACGAAAGCTAAATAAATAATATTATAATTATAAATAGCTTTTTTAAAACTATATTTATAAATCGTAAAGTAAATAAAGCTTCGGTAATTAATCGTAGTTTTATTAAAAAGGGTTTTTAATAAAGATAGTTAAAAATAATTATAAAATCTAATATTAAGTTAATTATTAAAAAAGCTATAGGAAGTCTATTTTTAAGCCCGGCTTAAATCTATATTATATATAAGTCTTGTTCTTAAATATATCCTTTATAATATCTCTATTTACTATTACTTAACTATTTACTAAATAATCGTCCGTCCTATTTATCTATAATTATATATCCTATTTATTTACGGGTATCCGTTCTTTATCTTATTATATAATTATAGTTACGTAATTTATCTATAGTTCTTCTGTCTTAAGAGGAGTTATTTTAAGTCCGCTGCTTTTATATATATAGTATAGTAGCCGCCGCAGGTCCTATAGGGCAGGCCCTGGCCTTATTATACGTATTAGGTCGTAATATTATATTTTTAAATTATAAAGAGTATATTTTTAAAGTTTAACGTAAAGTTATATACTCTAACGCTTCTTAAATCCCTTTTAATAATATTTATAGTATAGACTTTTTAAATACTAAATAACCTAACCGAGGCGTTTTTATAATTATAATTTATTAAAAATCGAATTACCCGTTATTAAAATAGCTCTTTAATTTTAATTATTAAAGCTATAGAGCGTTTATTTAAAAGGGCTCGTAAGATTATATACTAAATCGTTTTATTAAAATCTAAGAATTAGATCCTTTAAAAAGAAAATAATTTATTTAATTAATATTAAAAAGTTAAAAAAAACCGTTTTTAATAAAAAAAAAGTTTTATTATAATAAAGGGAGAGGACTTTTAGTTATAAAAAAAAGCTATAACTTAAATAAAAAAAGAAACGTACCGGAATAGTAATTACTAACCGAGGACTAAAACGGGCTAATAATAATATAGCGTTTATAAAAATACTAGTTATAATATATAAACGTATTAATTCGATAAAAAAATGTTTAATAATAAGGATTCTAAGTAGTTTTAATTAAATTAATAACGTAAGTATTAATATTTACACCTTTATATAATATAGTTGCCGTTTTATATTTTACTCACTTATCTATTTTATTCGCTTATTATATACGTTAGGGTTTATCTATAATAAAATCTTTAATATAGGGAAGTACTTATTATTAATTATAGTAATTGGGCCACAAAAGGGGCCTATAGATATATAATTAGCTCCGTCTCCGCATCTTAATATACTATCGCTATTCTACACTCGATAGGATATATAGTAGTCGACTTCTAGGATATTCAAAAAGAAAACGAAGTATAAATATACTTTTTATTTCCGTTCCGAACCGAACGCTTTTTAAACTTTATACTATATAGATACGAGGTTTTTATTATACAATCTCCGGCGTACTTTATTAACGATATATAGAAAGTTAAAGCCGTCTTTAAACCGGAATTATATATACTAAAAAATATTATCGTGTTTTTAATAAAGAGAGACGTTGCGCTTACCGATAGGCTTTTAGGTAGCGATTATAATAAAAATAAGGCTTAGATATATTAGGAACTAGCTATTATATTTAATTTTAAGAATACTACTATATTAATAAAACTAAATATTTCGCAGTATCTTAAAGAAGATATAACGTCGTACGGAGCCCTCAGTTATAAAATAATTAAGTCTATCATAGCTTCGGTAATAATTAGTCGTAATATTACTTTTAATATATAATCCAGCTTTTTAAAAATCGTAACCAAGTTTAAAGAACAACTCTATTATAATGTAAATAACCTAGATAATAAGCAAGCTCTTTTACTAAGCGCACTTCTTAATAGCCTAGTTCTAGCACAGTAGCTTATAACGAGGTTATAAAGGTTATTCTTATAAAAAAATAAATAAAGTAAATATTCATATAGAAGCAAGAATATATAAATATAAGGGGTAATAAGCGTAATAAATAAGGTTTATATATTTAAAGAGAGTAATATAATTAGATTACTATATAAAAAGTTGCTTACTTAACAAAAGGTCTAAGTAAATAAAAAGACGCCCTTATATAGGTATAAAAACCTCCTACTAAAATATTTTATTACTTATTAATTATAATATAATTAATAAGCGTATATGTAAGTAAATGCATAATCGTAGTGCGTAATACTACCTCGAGAGAATTCTAAAGTATTTCGTTACTTTCTAATACTTTCTATAGTTCACGTAAGCTTATATAAACAGAATTGCTTATATAATTAAAACTTATAATAATCTATAGAAATTATAGATTAATATAATATATAATATACTTACGTAATATAAAGAATAAAGCAAATAATAAAGTAAATAAATTTACCTTTAAAACAAAAGTTCATTATTTTACCAGTTTATAAAAGTAATTATCGTTAATTAAATATCCTATCGACTACTAAATAGCGTCAATACAAGAGTACGTACTCTTATAAGTAGTAATAACACATTAGTTATTAACCCGTTCCTATAAAAGTTAATATAGTCTAATTAACCTCTTCGTTAACGCACGACTCGAACTAAACTCCTTATAATAAGAATACTAATAATAATAGCTCTATAAATATTACGGCTAGCTAATTATAATAAATATATTAATAGAAGTTAAAGCTACGAATACTAAATAAATAGTATTATAATCGTAAATAGCTTCCCTAAAGCTATATCTATAAGTCGTAAAGTAAGTAAAGCTTTAATAATTAATCGTAGTTTTATTAAAAGGGTTTTTAATAAAGATAGCTAAAAGCGCTCGTAATATCTAATACTAAGTTGATTGCTAAAGAAGCTATAGAACTTTGTTTTTAACCCCAGCTCAAGTAGATTCTATCATACACAAGTCACGTATACTATATAAACAGTTCCTTTATGCCGGGACCGACATCACCGCGCCTGTCCTTGTTATGGACTGCTCATCGACCCTGGGTGCTCTTTATCATCACGTCACCTTGCATGTAGTGATTCTACTCCGTGAGGAGTCATCCGTATGTGTTAGGAGGTATCCATATCACAGGGAATTCGGTTCGAACCGTGGGTTAACGAAGAGGTCAATTGATCTATATTAACTTATGCGTAAGGTGGAACGATCGGGCTTTGTAGGCATTTCTATTGAATAGCAGAACTGGCCGAAACCCTCAAGTATTGCTATACTGCTATCAAAGATGCCCAACAACGCCCGTGATCTTGAGCCCATGTTGATCACATCATTTCTTGCCAATGCCGACCTTGGCTCTGCAGCTCGAATCCCCAACGGCGCCTTTCGCGTTGCAAGCCTTCCGGAAATCGCAATTATTTATGGCCTTGACAACGTAAACGTAATTGTCGTAGTGTTTGCACTCCGCAAAGCCTCGGTCATAGATAATGGGGTCGCCAGAGGCGCACGCGGAAGTGGTTGCGCTGTCGTTTGCGCTTCCGTCCTGGTTGGTGCAGTGACAGTATTTATACGTGTCACATGCTTCGCTTGCCAGAGCCAGCGCGAAAACGGTAAGGAATAACGATGGTTTCATAGCGAACGTCTGATAGCGAAGGGCTGTTTTTCTTTTAAGAGAAGGTGGTTTCTACCAAAAATGATGTCGTTTATCGCAGTCTTGGGTTGGATGAAAAGGGATGAGGGACGGCGTTGACACTTGCAATCGACAAAATCTCCCTTTTTATACTAATTGCTCAGGCATTCACTCTTGCTGAAATAAGATAGACGGGTTCCAAATGCCGGCATAACCGAGAGACTGAAATGTAATATAAATTGAGTTCGGAAGCGCCGTGTTGGAACGAAGAGATCAGCCTCGGGCGCCGGCATGACCGAGAGCGTTTATTGTAGTATGAATTTTGTTTAGGGGTTTCCATGTAAATCAGAAGCTTCGTTACTGCAACCCATCTCGGTGGCGTCCAAACAATTCTATACGCAGTAGACACTTATCCAACGAGATTTGGTTTTGGAAAAGCGCATAAAGCAGGTAATGTTTTTCTTTACAGTTTGAATGTGCACGAATAAATCAATGTATGAGCAGCGACTGACAAGGCACGAGAGTACCAACCCCATCTCCGGGATGCCGTTGTAACTGACTTAACAGTAAGAAAAAAGTAACAGTATGCATGATGGCTCTGTTCAACAGAGGAGGTCGTCAGCGGCGTGGAGCACAGCATGATTACACCATGACGGCGGCCGCCTTGTCATGGTAGCTAACGAGCCACTCGGATGACCAAGAAAAAAAGAAGAAGAAAAAAGGCCCGTGCCGCTTGCATCCGCCACCAAAACCAACGTTGTTGATTCTGTCGCCTTAGTGCGAGCCTAGCAGCCCCCTAAAGGAAGCTCAGCATGGGAAGAGTAGTAGCTTCGCAGCAGCCGGGACTATTTGTTGCAATCTTCGCAGACCCAAACAGAAGCAATTTTCCAGTGGTGAGCGAATTCGTTGTACATATCGTCCGTGGATTATATCCGGCCAACGTGGCTATACGGTCATCAGTGACAGTTACAGCGATGCAATTGAGCGTGGAATAGATAGCCAGAAAGGTATTCTTAGATTTCGTTAATGGCTCGGGACTGCCACATAACTCATCACGGCAAACGTAACGGGCAGGCCAGGCGTTATATCACTATATATATTTTCCTACGCAAGCTTCCCTTTTATAATACTATACCGTACTCGCGCACTTAGATATAGGTTCCTCTGGCTAAGTTACGCTAGAGTCTATGCCAGCATCCGTATACTTCCCGGCTAATCGCGTACTCTCGCTATATACTATATAATATTCTATACGATAAGCTAGTAATACCGGGGGCATCGGCTACGTATATCGAGCTACTACTATATATAAACAGTAGTTCTTTAGCCTGCCATGTTTTAAGACCCCCGTACTCTAGTGACGCTAACTAAAGTGCTAATCCGTTTATTAATCTAGTAAGTAAATCGAGATATATATTTGGGCCGAAGTTAATTTGCCTAGGTACTTTAAGGGGTAAATAATCGATACTATTTTAAAGTTAGTAATTACCGACTAAGTGGACGGCCCTTAGCTCTATGTCTAATGGGTATACTAATTATTGCCCCGGACTATTTATTTCGCTATAGTCTAGGCTCTCTAGAAAACTCGAATTAGATTAGCGTAAAAGGGGGCTTGCCCTTGAACTATTAATTAGGCAGTGTTTTTATTAATTTTAGAATATTAAGTTTCTAATAACTACGTCGCTAACTAAAGATATAGAAGCCCGCAAATCACTATTTACTAACTAATAGACTACTTACTATCTACTATAACCGGATTATTAAAATAGATTAAACGCAATCCTATTAAAAATAAGCTTAATAATATTTATAATACTTTTAAGTCCTTATATACTAAAGAAAAGACGTTATATTCTATAGATTTAGTAAATTAACTTAACTAAGAAAGTACGAGCCCTAGCTCTCGTATTACGGCTAGCTAGTCGTAATAAATATATTAATAAAGGTTAAGGCTACGAAAGCTAAATAAATAGTATTATAATTATAAATAGCTTTAGGGAAGCTATATTAATAAGTTATAAAGTAAATAAAGCTTTAATAATTAATCGTAGTTTTATTAAAAGGGGTTTTTAATAAAGATAGTTAAAAGTAATTATAAAATTTAATATTAAGTTAATTATTAAAAAAGCTATAAAAAGTCTATTTTTAAGCCCGGCTTAAGTCTATACTATATATAAGTCCTATAACTTATACTATTTAAATAGTTCTTTTATAATTAGGACTAATATTATAATATCGGTTTTATAAAGTAGACCGCCTTATCCTATCGGTCCTATTTATAGACCGTTTATTATCCGTCGATCCTTTTTATTATTATATAACTTATTTATAGTTCTTCTATTTTATTAAAGTAACTCCTATATTAATCTTTATATATATATATATATTATAGTCCGCTATAAGCCTACGGGGCAGGCCTTAGTTTTAATTATATATATTAATCGTAATATTAAGTTACCTTTTTAAAGGTCTAGTCCCTAAACTATAAATAAATATCCGCGGCCTAGGTTAGGGCTAGTTAAGTTATTTATTTTTATTTATCTTTTTATAATACTAATACTATATTAAGTTATATAAAGAAGTTAAGTTTAAAAACGAAATTTAAAAAAATAAAAATAAAAATTATAAATACTTTGCGCTTTTAAAGTTTATTAAAGCTCGTTGTAATTAGCTAATATACTTTATACTTATATTTTTATATTAAAGTTCTATATTAATTTAGAAAAGTTTTTTTATTATTAGACCTATATTAAATAAAAAGCCTTATAAAGTATTAATAGCTTTAACTTATAATTTATTTTTTTTTTATTTTTATATTATTTTAATATTTTTTATAATTTAAAAACTTAATATTTAGTAAAGAGAGTAGATAAAAAAGAAAAAAGGAGGTAAAGAGCTTTTAAAGCTTTATAAAGAGCTAGCTCGTTTTTAGTTATTAATAGCTACTATTACTAATCGTTTATTTATATTTAGAAAATTTAGAAAATAATATATAAGCGTTAAATTAAGACTTTTATTAAGAATATAAAAAGTAAATAAGTTTAATACTTTAAAGTTACATTAAATATTTATAAATATAAATAGTTAAGGAGTTATAGTTTATATAGGTTTTTAATAATATAGACTAGTTTATTTTTAAGATTAATAAGAGTTCGTATCCCTAGGCCCGTTAATACTATTTTTAATAATCTTTAAAAAGCTATTAAAAGTTCTAGAAGTTCGTAACGGGCTCCTATATATTTATTTTATATTTATAATTTTTTTATTTAATTAAGAGTTCTCGTATTTCGTTCTTAACTTTATAATTAATAATTTATTTAACTTCGTACTCTAGTTCGTTAGGTTTTATAATAATATAATCCTTTATATATAAACCTTTAATACTAATTCAAAAAGTAAAATATAAAAGACTAAATAATACTTTATTATATCTAGAAGTCTTAGTTTATAGTTAATAAATAAGACTTTTTTAATAATTTTAAAAAGTCTAAGTTTTTTATAATTTAATTTATTATTTAGTCGTTTTATTTTAATATTATAATAAAAAAAATAGGCACTATCCCCTTTTTTTAAAGTTAGTCCTTTAATCCTTAATTTATTTACGTTTTTCTTTATATATTAATATATAAATTCGAGGTTTAGAAATACTTTTTTTTAAAGTTCTTTAAGTTTTATAACGTTTATTATTATTTTTATAGTTTATAGTCCTTATCGTATTTTTTTATATATTATTAACTAAAATCTATAGTTTAGATAGAACGGGGATTCTTTTATATTTTTACTAACTATATTATTATATATAAATTAGGTTATTAATAATAATACTACTTAGTTATTTTAATTATAGTTTATATAATAACGGAGGTATATCTCGAGAATTTAGTTAATCCTTTTTATTTATTTATCGGTTTATAAATAAAAAGAGGTTAATAGTTTATAATTTATATTAAGTTACGAGATTAAGATCTCTAAAACTTCGAAGTAAATAAAGAGCCTTTATTAAATATTATTTCTTTTAATATATTATAGTTAATAATAACGACTTTAAAGAACGTATATATTAACTCTTTTACGTTACTAACTTCTTTATAAAATATAAAATAAGTAAACTTAATAAGTCGGTTAATTATAACTAAAATACTATTATATTATATATTCATAAATAGTTCTTTAGACTTTAATAATTTAATAATAAAGTTTATAA